AAGCTTTTCTTTGTAAAAACTTCAATTGAATTTCAATAAAGTTAAAGGCATGGCCTCATCGTTAATATTAAAAAAAATAAATTTAACTATAACTAACTATTGCAAGTAATTATTTAATGATGGCATAATTAATGCATCAGAATTTACTTGGATCAGGAATTTACTTGGATCAGGAATTTACTTGGATTAGGAATTTACTTGGATCAGGAATTTTCTTGGATCAGAAATTTACTTGAATCGGGATTTGGTTATGACGCAAGTCACAGGCTTAATCTGGGTTGTAGTCTAGATCATGGGTGGCTTGAGTCATAGTTTTAACTGTTACACTATCCTCCTTTTAATAGCTTTCTCTTTGTCTGTTTCCTGCCCCTTTTTGATATCGACATTAGTACAGGTTTATTCAGATATTGCTGGTGATAGGTTTTGACCACTTCTTGGGCATGAACTACATTCTTGGCAGGTTCTTAAGATCTCTCGTTAATATCGTAACCTCTCCAGTCGACTAGATAGTACACTTTCTTCCGCACAATTTTGGAGTTGAGTATTTTGTTGACTTCGAATTCAGTTTTATCTTTAATGACCACTGAAGGTGGTGGTTCTGGTGATTTACCTGGAAACATATTAATCATATAGGGTTCTAATAAAGAGATATAAAAAGTGTTGTGGATCTTGAATGATGAAGGTAATGTTAAGCAAAATGCCACTGGATTGATTATTTCCAAAATTGTATAGGGACCCAGTATTTGATAGTCTAGTTTGTCAGAAGGACATGTGGTGTAAATGTTGCAGCATAACAGCCAGACTTTATCGCCAACCTTGAAGTCAGGACTCTTTTGTTGACGTTTGTCTGCATGTTTTTTATATCATTCTTGCACTGTTGCTAGTTCTCTGATAAGTGTTGTTCTTATTTGTCATAATTGGGCGGCTTTATCTTCTGCAGCAGAAACTGAGGAGAATAATGGTGCTTGTAGGTTGAAGTTAGGGTGAAAACCATAGTTGGCAAAAAAAGGTGTGGTTTTGGTGGAAGTGTGGATTGAATTATTATAGGTAAACTTAGCTAGAGAAAGCAAATCAATCCAGTTGTCCTAATGGTAATTAATTTTACATCTTAGGTATTGTTCTAACACTTGGTTTACTCTTTCACTTTGGCTATCTGACTGAGGATGATAGGCCATTGATAAGTTGATTTGGGTTCCCATAAGGCTAAATAACTGCTTCTAGAACCTTGAAACAAATTGAGGCCCTCTGTCTAAAACAATAACATTTGGAACTCTATGCAAATGTAGTACTTCTCTCAAAACCAGGTATGCAGTTTGCTCAGCACTGATGCTTTTATTACATGCAATGAAGTGTGCCATTTTTGTCAGCTGATCTACTACTCCAAGGATTGAGTCAAATCCTGATGATAACGGTAGGTCTGTAATGAAGTCTATAGAGATCGATTGCCATTGTCGTGAAGGAATAGGTAAGAGAGCAAGTAACCCATATAGGTAGTGTCTAGGGAGTTTAGACCTAGCACAAGTGTCACAAGATTTTACATAGTGTCTTATGAAAGTTGAAAGTTTCAGCCACCAGTAGTCTCGTGATACTAATTCTATAGTTTTTGTTACACCAAAGTGACCTGCTAATTTTGAATCATGCCTTGAACGCAACATCTCCAGTCTCTCTGTTGGGTTTGGTATATACAGTAGGCCCTCTCTGAACAGAAGACTACCAATGTATTGAAACTTATAATAGTTAGATCTTAAGACCTGAATGTTTTTGTCTAGATGGTTTAACTGCTTAATCACGTCCAGAGTCAGAGAGTCTCTTTTCAATTGGTTGTGGATTTGGTTTAACATTGTAATGTCAGTCGGTATTACATAAGTGGCATCCATGCAAAGGTTTTGAGGCTTCAATAATGTAGTATATTGCTGTGCCACCTCCTCATCACTGTCATAGGGTTGGTAATCTGGCCTTCTAGATAGGGCATATGATTTAACCTGTTGCTTCCTCGATTGGAATACAATCCTAAAATTGTAACCTGAAAGAAAAAGTGACCATCTGGCCTGATGTCAACTAAGAGTTTTTGCTGTGATAAAATATTGCAAATTTTTGTGATCACAGTATATGGTAATTTCATGCTATGCTTTTTCTAGGTAATGTCGCAACTGCTTAAAGACCATTATTATTGCCAGGAGTTTCTTATCATGTACATCATAGTTAATTTCTGCTGGTGTGAATTTTTGTAAATAATAGGTGACAGGATGGAGTTTCTCCTCATATTGTGGCTGAAACAGGACTGCACCCAGTGCATAATCTGAGGCATTCATTTTGAGATAATATGTTTTGGTTGGGTCGGCTTGTACTAAAACAGGGGCAAAAGTAAAAGCCTTTTTTAGAGAAGTAAAGGCTTATTGGGCCAATAAAGGCCAAACAAATACTTTTATCTTTTTTTCTTGTTTTTTGGTTAGGATGATCAAAGGAGTGGTTAGATGGCCATACCGCTTGATAAAATGTCAGTAATAGGTGAAGAAACCCAAGAACCGCAGCGCCTCTCGAACTGATGTCGGGATAGGCCATATGAGAATGCTCTTAATCTTGTTAGGGTCCATTTGAATTTCCTGAAGGGTAATATGATAACCCAAGAAGTCAATACTTTTCTTGTCAAAGTCACATTTTTCTAATTTTGCAAACAAGCCATTTATCTGTAGGCATTCTAGAACTACCCATATAAGTTGATCATGTGTTTCTTAGTTAGATGAATATATCAAGACATCATCCAGATAAATAACAATAAATTGATCCAAAAGGTCTTTAAAATGTTATTCATTAAGTGTTGGAAAACAGCTGGAGCATTAGTGAGCCTGAAAGGCATCACTAAATACTCAAAATGTCTGTACCTTATGTGAAAAGCTGTTTTTCATTCGTCTCTTGGTTTTATTTGCACCAGGTTATAAGCCTCTCTTAGGTCTATTTTTGTAAAACTTTGGGGTGACAAGTTAATTTAATAATTCTGGTATTAGGGAAAGTGGGTAGTGGTTTCTAACCATAACCTGATTTAGGCCCCGGTAGTCAACACACATTTGTAGAGTTCCGTCCTTTTTCTTGACAAAGAGCACTGGAGCCTCTGCTGGCGATTTGGAGTGGTGAATAAAACCTTTTTCTAGATTTTCCTCAATATATTTCTTTAAGGTTTCAAGTTCTTTGTGTGGACAATTCATTAATGGGACCCCAAGAAGGTTGCGAGTTAGGTAATAACTTGATTTCACAATCATATTGACAGTTTTTAGGTAACTTGTAAGCTTCTTTCTCACTAAAAACATCACAATATTTTTAGTACTTTTTTGGAATCGCTGAGGGTAACCGCTCATTAGCATGACAGAGGCTGCCAGTTCTGGTGGCAAAAACTTGAATTACAAAAATTTGTTCTTTATTAGTTATGCTAATTTCTGAAGGTGGAAAAAGATGAGTTTTACAGGCTGAGTCTGAAAAGGTGATGGTTCGTTCACGGCAGTTTATTTCAGGATTATGTACTGTCAGCCAAGACAACCCCAGTATCGCTTTGTAGTGGAGAGAAGAAATAAGGTTAAAGGTTATTTCTTCATAGTGTTCTTATAGATATACATATATCGGCCCGGTTTCGTGCATTACAGACCCTAATGAAAACTTCTGACTATCGACTATCTCAACTGTTAATGATGACTTTTTTTTAAGAATAGGTAAGTTGAGTTCTTGAGCCAGAGCGAAATCCAAGAAGCATTCTGAAGCCCTGGAATTAACTAAAGCTTGCATGCTTGTTCAAGTTCCATTAGAGAGGTATATATGTAACTCTGGGGTCAATGCTGTTACAGAATAGTTGTTGGGCAGTGGGTTTGCAGGGGATAAACTATTGGTATAGTCTAGCCACAGCCCCCTTGCTACAGCTGGGGCTGTTCTTTTCCTGACGGTTCTTCTGAGAAGATATAACATCAATTCTTGGTGATAAGTTAGGTTTTTTGAGGCAATTTTTGACAATATGACCTGGGTTACCACAATAAAAACAAAGGTTATTTGTATAACATCATTGTTTCTCAGTTACTAAGAGTGGCTTGATCTTCATAGTATCAATTTGCATTGGGTCTTCTTCAAAAGGTGCTGACCTGGTAATGGTCTGAGGTTGATACTGTCTTGCTAGAGAGTCCTATAAGCATTCTTGCCTATGCTTAAACAGTTGGTTATTACACCTGACAGCTTTCAAAATAGCATTGTTCAGTGAGGAAGGGTTTTCAACTGTAAGGAGCAAATCCTTTACATCACTATGAAGCTTACTATGAAATTGATTAATTAGTGCTGCTTCGCTCCAATCCAAATCACTTGCAATTAGCAAAATTCAGAGGCATAACTTAAGGCTAGTCTTGTCTCTTGGACAAGCTTCCAAATTTTGTTGGCTGCAATTTTGGACTTTTTTGAGTTGCCAAACGTGGCTTTAAATTCCTTGACCAGGTCTTCAAAAGTTTCAAGTAATGGTGATTGTTTTTTCAGGAGCGGGGCAAACCAGGTGAGGGCTGGTCCTGCTAGTAAGCTTTCCAGAAGACCTACTTGCATTTGATCATTGGGGTAATGGTTGGGTTGCATATGTATGACAAGATGAACCTGGTTTAAAAAACCTTTAAAGTTTGTTCAGAACCTGTCAAATTTGTCTGAGAGACTAACTTTTGGTTCTTTGTATTGGTTATCAATTCCTTCTTGAGTGTGAAGATAGTTTAGGACATTCCTAAGATCCACGTTGTCTTACTGCAAGGCTTAATTGTCGAGTTGGAGTTTGTTTACCACAGCTAATATGTCACCGAAATCGGGTTGGTCTGCCATTTGTGTCTCTTGTGTTATGTGTTTTGTTTGGTTTGTTTTTTTTTTTTTTTTTTTTTTTTTTTTTTTTTTTTTTTAATATTAAAACTATGTACTATGCTAATGATGATTGATTTGAGAGTTAACTATTGAGTTTATAGGAGTATACCCCTAAACAGTTTAATTGCTATTGGATTAGTACTTGTTGCAAAAAAAGGATAGTCTGTTCAAACTGTAATGGAACAGGGCATGACTAATAGATACTTTCTTAGACAATCAAGAGAATTTATTGAACAGACTAATTATTACAAGACTTGTAAGTATCACTTTTTATACCCTTTATACTTTGACCTATTTTATTACGATTGCTAATGCAAGTTATTACTACTTAATTACATCATAATTCATGCAATGCTATTAACTATAAATTTAACTATAACTAACTACTGCAATTAATTAATTAATAACAGCATAATTAATGCATCAGAATTTACTTGAATCAGGAATTTACTTTGATTGGGAATTTACTTGAATCGGGAATTTTCTTGGATCAGGAATTTACTTGGATCAGAAATTTACTTAGATCGTGATCTGGTTACGATGCAAGTTATGGGCTTGATCTGGGTCGTGGTCTAGATCGTGAATGGCTTGAGTCACAGTTTTAACTGTTATATTGTTATTGCTATGAACACTTTGGCTCTATACAATTTCATATATGCTACAATAAATTTCTAGCCTATAACTATTTTTTACTACTTTTATATCTACAAACAATTATCTATTTTTTATAATATATTTATAGTTTTGATTATTTACTAAGTAATGCTTATAACTATATCTTAACTATTTCTATTAAAAATAATTACAGTAAAGTCTATATTTATCTTTCATCTGAACCTAAACCTCTACTTAAGCATTTTAGTCTATCACTTCAAGCTATTTGGCATTATTCAAACATTTTACTAAAATCATATATAATAGAAGATAACTCTTTTAACTTAACAAATCAATATAATATAATATTAATATCAAACTATTTTCTATATCTTCAACACCATTACAACAACCTTTATCTTCTTCTATTTATTTATTATTACTTTTAATATTATCATTATATTCATCTTAAATTCTTATATCTATGCAAAATTTGCAAGACCTTTATTTAAATATTGCAATACATAATGTCTGGGGATTTAATACAATAACCAAAAAAGAAGTCTGACAAAACTACTGTCTCTATAATAATATTGATATTGCCTATATTACTGAAATAAAAATTGCTAATACTACTAATTTTCATTTTTGCAGCAATAATCTGTTTACATATTTTTTGGGTAAACTCTGAAAATTCTGCAGAAGATGCTACTATTATGATCCACAACTACTTTTAACTACATGTACACAACTACCAAATACATACTAAAGAAGCAGTAGCTTTAGACCTCTTTTTTGAAAATGAAATTAAAATCTGTATTATAGCAGTTTATTTCTCCTTTACTAATACACATCAATGTAACAAAATACAAGAAATAGTTATTTTATAGATTCAACAAGTTCACCAATTTAACCTTCATCCAATTATTCTTGATAACTTTAATATATATAATGATATTTGTAGCTTATTATCTAAACTTTGACTAACTAACTACCTACATCAAACCAATATATATGATCTTAAGACATATGTTGATAACAAACATTATATATGATCAAACAATACTAGTCAAAGCTGCATTAACTATATATAAATTGATTTATTTAATTTACAGTTCTTTCTTTCTTACAGTCTTGATGATAGTAGCAACTCTACATTAAATATTCACTTTATTCTTTTCTCTTTATAGTTTTTGACTAATGCATTTAGCAAACCTTCATGTTATCATATTGGCATTAGTCATAGAATTTTCAATTACAAATCCATGTTATCAGAAAAATTGACAGAATTTTCTGAGTTGCTTTTCCAAAAACTTAACTCATATAATACTCCACTTGATCACAATACCAATAAAAATATAGAAACTACTTGATATAAAATTGAATACTTAATTATTTATTTTGCTATACACTTAATATTTAACAAAAAATCTTGTAAATGTAGCTACAATCGCAAGTACTTACCTTATAGCACCTTATTTCAACTATTACTTAAAGAACTTGAACATTTAATCAAAATTGTTAAAAATCTAAATAAAAATTTAAATATTAATCTAATTAATTTCAGGATTCAAAATATAAACACAAGATCTAACTGTAATCTTCAAACCTTACCTTCTATTTAAATCCAGAACTTAAACAATGGATTTAGCATATACAAAAAATATTTAAAAACAGTTTTATTATGGATACTAGCTTGAAAACTTACTACTACTCTGACAACAAATTTAATATACTACTAAAAAAAAATATAAAACTTTTTTTATATATTATAAACAAGCTATTAACAGCATTCTTAATTGTTACAAATCTCCTACTTATTTTTTAAACATTAAACTCTCTAACCAACTAGTCACAGAATCACATCTTATTAAACAACATATACAATTACATTTTCTTAACTGGACAGCATATCAACCAATTTACCAAAACCTATTTAATAATTTTTGGTCTATACAATATCAATTACAAGCACACATTGACATCCAATGATATAGCTCTTACTACTTCTATTATAAAAGAAGAAGTGCTTCAAATTATAACAAAATTTCTAAATAGAAAAGTCTGTAGTTATACAGGTATCAGTTATGAAATGCTTAAACATGCAGGTGCTGCTTGCATTAAAGCTATAACTATCCTATTTAATTACTTCCTTAACTTAAACCAAACTCCTAAACAATAAACATGCAGAATTTATCCTATTCCAAAGCAAAACACATTTGATGAAGATCTTAACCTTACTTATCCTATAAGTCTTATCAAACATATCTGCAAAGTTTACACAAAAATTATTACAAATAAAATCAGTAATATATTCTTACAACACCCAATTCTCTTACTATATAATTATGTTACTTTGCCTAACAATAGTATCTTAATATCTATATACATACTTAATAACCTTACTAAAGATGCATTATGCAATTAAAAACCAATTTGACTTTTGTCTTAAGATATGAGCAAAGCTTATTATTCAGTTAATCTTGAACTTCTTAAATACTTCCTGCAATGTCTTACTCTTTCTTTTACTTTTACCAAATACTATTATTAATCTACTTACTGACTAACAAAATTAAGTTATTACAGATCTTGGCCTTATCTCTTTATATTTAGTTCTTAATGGTATCGATTAGAGGGAAACTATTACTTTACTTATATAAAGAATATATTATGACTCACTTATCTCAAATATTTATAATAACTTTAATAGTTATAATACTAAAGTTTTCTAGCCAACCAATCTTAAAAATTAAATATTTAACAAACTTGAATCCTACTGCTCTGTTTTTGTTTATATGAATAACACTTTATAGATTGCATTTTTATAGCAAGAACTTTTACAAATTCTATTAATAACAGAATCTTTTTACAACATGATCAATATCCAAATCAATCCTACTAAATTATATTTCACAACTAATAACCTTTTAACTAATTACAGTCCTATTACTTATAACAATTATTTACTTAATCTTCATCCTTCAAATGAACTATTTAAGTTTTTAGAATACTGATTTATACTCAAGAACAAATAAACAAAACAAACTAAGCTTATTATAGCAAAATCATCACATCTTATTAAAATTGCAAGTACTAAAAAAATCTCTAATATATATGCATAATATATTATTAATACAGTTATTATCTCTATAATTGAATACTGCATTCGCAATATTGTTCTTAGTCAGAATATATATAACAAAATTCTCACTAACTGTATTGGACTTGTCAAAAACAAAGCCAAACTTAGTCATACAAGTTGTACTAGTATGTTACTCCATCTTTAACTATATAATATTCAGAATATATAGAAT